ATATGTACACATATACATATATGCATGCATGCATGCATGCATGCATGCATGCATGCATGCATGCGTGCATGCATACATGCATACATACATACATACATACATACACAAATACATACATAGACACAGGCAGGTGGCACGTGCCGGCAGACACACGTGTATCAAAAGGGTTTATCAAGGCATTGTAGGCAAGGCGACAGACCTTTACAGTATATGGACCACCGCACGAAACCAGAGACTCCGCAAGCCTACGCTGCAGCCTCAGCTGCGCTTTGGCTCAGGCCGTGGGGCCGAGATCACTTCGTTCAGGAACTCAGCCGTCCCAGGCCTCAAAAATTCACCGAGTTGAGGGCTTCAGGACTTGGAGCTTTGGCAAAAACTCGAGGGGACTGCAAAGACTCGGGAACATGCTTGGTCTCGGGTCTGAAGGGTGACTATTGCAATGACTGTGTCGACAGAAGGACGCCGCAAGCCGACGTTGGAGTCGAAGTTCCATGCAGAAAACCAAGCGCAAGCCCGCGTCCCTGAACCTAACCTGCCCTGAACTACGTGCAACCTTTGCCCCAACCTGGAATGTGTGTTTCTAGACTTCGTGTGGAGGCTCTCCTGTCTGAAGTGGATGCAGAGGCCCGGACAGGTTGTGCGGGAGTGTCGGGGTGGCCGCAGGCAGGTTGAAGGTTCGGTTTCGGGTTTAGATTGCCCAGCACGTGCCGTGTGTGTTGCTGATATCTTCGTGAATGCAGTTTTCGCATTGCCTGACCCAGCTATGGAGCCCTGGTAGCTTTCGATTGCGTAGGTCAAGGAGCTCCTTGACAAGGCAGGATCCCTGGAGTTCAAGCTCTGCATTTGCGTGGTTCGGCTTCGGGGCCTAGGGCCTGGGGCTCACATGGTCCAAAGCTCAGGGGCGGACCACGGAAATCTGATTCGACATAGTCCAACCCCGACGATACAGTATACTATAGTGTAGTATAGTGTAGTACAGCACAGTATAGTATAGCATAGTAAAATATGGTATAGTGTAGTACCGTACACTACTGTACAGGACAGGACAGGACAGGACAGGACATCACAGCATAGCATAGTATAGTATAGTATAGTAAAGTATATCATAGCACAGTATAGTAAAGTATAGTACAGCACAGTATAGTATAGTATGGTATAGTATACTATGGTACAGTGTGGTATAGTATAGTATAGTATAGTATAGTATAGTATAGTATAGTATAGTATAGTATAGTATAGTATAGTATAGCAAAAGAAAAATAGTATAGTATAGTATAGTATAGTATAGTATAGTATAGTATAGTATAGTATAGTATAGTATCCTACCGTATAGCATAGTAGAGTAGAGTATAGTATAGAAAAGTTTAATACCGTATAGTATAGTATAGCGCAGTATAGTATAGTAGAGTATAGTATAGTAACGTAAAGCAAAGTATTATATGCTAAAAGATAGTGAAATATGATACAAACAAGACAATATGATGTTTTGAATACGATCATACCACAGCACAAGATTATGTAACATAACATTGATAAAGATATAGTGTCATACAGAATAACTAGTATAGTCGACCGAAACGGTTAGAACATAGTACTGTAAAAGCTTTCCCGAAGCTGAGACTTCGAGCCTCGAGGCCTTGCTGCTCGCGGGTACAGCCATTGCACGGAACCGCGAGCTTCATGCGGCCATCGCTGAGGTGCAGACTTCTTGGGGCCTTGACATTCTGACTGTGAGTAGCCTAGAAGTCATCGTCAACCCGCTGTCGGCTCTGTGCAGGTGCTGATACAGCACGAGACGCTGGACGGTGAGGTGCCTCTACAGCATCCCACTGCACCTTTCTCCTCTTTGGCTGTGAACCCAATAATATGCCAGTGCACCATGTTGGCCCCAGGAATTCCAGCGAGTGGTGCGCGAGCACCCGCCCACACCGATCAAGCTGTGATCGTGAGACGAGAAGAAGAGGGTCGTTATCATGCAGATTCGATTTTCTTATACTGCGCGGTCAATGTTTGGATCCCTCATGTGCCGAAGCTCCAAGCCAGGCACCCTGTCTCATGGCCCTCTCCGTGCCAGCCCCGCAGCTTTCAGCCCAAGCGCCCAAACACCCAAGCTCTCGGGGATGGGGATGCAGACTCACTTAGCACCTCTGACACCAAGGATATCAAAAAAGGCAAGCAAGATCAGCATACTTAGAGTAAGTAGTGGTAGAGACTGCCAGAGAAAGGTCTCCACTCTACCTCAAAGGAACACAGCTCAAGCCTCGATCCGGATCTTCAGCTAGAGGACCAGAGGACCTTGAAAGGAAACAATCAACATCAAAACTTAGATGTTTCGAAGCTGACATGCTAGACTGTGACGATTCCGGGCTTCTGAAGCATGATCTTCTCGTGGGCACTATCGCCGACGGTGCAGGCTGCACAGCTTCCTTACATGCTTGTCGTTTGTTTGTTGTTGCAATGGGGATTGGCCCTGGCACATGAATCCGTGGATGCTGGGTGTGGAGCCGAAACATGTGGGAACGAAAAAGCCAGCCCCACTTTCTCAAGCGCCGCAATCCCAAGCAGGGACAAGGTCACCGAGGTCCAAGATTGGCTGTGCGGCTTCGGAGGGGACGGTGCGGCGCTTCGTCCTGAGCACGATGCTTTTTGAGTAGAGCCTTGAGAGGGCTGTAGACGTAGAGATGCGTTTGTGGAGGTGCGCCTGGCTGGCTTTTGAAAGCTGAGGTGTCTTTGGCATCAGTGCGTTGGCTTGACGTGCAGCAGGTGTTGGAGCACAGCTGCGGCTTCGTTAACAACTCCAAGCCTGTGCGCTTTGCACTCGTCAGGACGCACAAGACAGGCAGCACCACAGTCGCCACAACTTTGTTGCGCTCTGGAATGTCGCTGGGGTTGCGCTGGGCCGGCTGCGATGACGGTTCACGCTTCGTGCCCCACGAGCGTGCCTGTAAGGCCCGCGAATACTCAGGCCAGAATGAGGGTAAGTATGATTTTGAGTCACGGCACACCTATGAATTCGCCACATGGTGGACGTCAGAACCCTATTTGGGGCAATGCGACGCCGACGGCAGGCATTTCGAGCGCACTCTGATGGGATATGAGGAGCAGATGGGTTCTGACGTGCAGGTTTTTGTGTTGATTCGGGAAGCTCATTCACACTTGCGGTCTACACTGGACTTCTTTGAGGTTCCATTCGCCAAGTTCAATGCATCTGAGAGTCTTTGGAACCCTTTGGCAAAAGACCTTCGCCTCCTGGAGTTGGACCACGTAGAAGACTTCCTTGCCCGTTGGCCCTTCAATCGCACAAACCGCCTGCACGTCCTCGTGACCGAGGAGTTGTCCGCGTCGATGGTTCTCTTTCGCAGAAAAGTGAATTGGTCTTTGCGGGATGTGGTTTTCCTTTCGAGTCGTGTTACCAGGAAGTACGGCAAAATACCTGATCGTGCTTCCATGCCGCCTGGGCGTTTGGACTGGGATGAGAGGCTGAACGAGGTCCTGCGACCGCTATTCCAAACCGAGCTCGGGAGGCAGTCAAGCGACTTCCAACGTGAAGTGGTAGCGCTGAATCGAATCAACTCAGCACTGCCCTTGGTCTGCGCCCAAGCAGAAATCCCCTCCGAGGGCCTACTGGCAAGGGTGTGCGAAGCCAAGGTTGACAGCATGCAAGCTGGAAGGCAGCAGGTGATGCAGTATCGCAAATGGCATTGTGGATCTGGGTGAGTCCAGATATCTGGTACGCGACTGAGGCGAACCCCATTGCACCCTGAAATCCCCGTGCCTCCTGGTAAGGCTTGTGAAGAGGAAAGCAAGTCTCATCTCTTTTGATGGCTTGTGTGTTTTGTTCTTTCTGTAGGGGGTGGGTGGGGCACAAAGTTCATGTCGTGAAGGCCAGCAACGCTGAACCGTAACGTATAGGGCAGTTTGTCAAGACCCACAGATATGTCATTGAATTGAAAGAAGTTCCTTTTTGAAGCACTACACGAAACCTTGAGCACGCTCCCGTAACAGCCCCTGAGCCAAACTTAGCGTTCCAAACATAGACATGGGCGAGAGAAAAGAGGGTTCAACAACAAGTCGAAGATATGTTAGTTGGCCACGCTCCTGACTACAACCCGGGAGTGCTGCTAAGTTGGGCTTGCGAAGCTTCCATTTGTGAGAGCACGTCCTTGCTTCGACAGACCTACCGAACTTCTCATTTTGATGATTGTGTTGATGATGGTTGTAAGGATGTTGTGATGGTGTATTGATGGGTCGATGACACGGACGGCGCTGTAGACGTCAATCATGATGATGACGATGGTGATGCGGGCGATGATGCGGATGCTGATGCTCATGCCAATGGCGATGATGCTCATTAGCATGATGATGCTGTTGTCGGGTTGATATGAGTGTGACATTGGTGGCAATTGCATTGCGGATGCTGTACTCGGGTCTCGAGATCGGACCTTCAGGACTTTAGTGGATTTTGCAGTGGGTGTGGTGGGCTCTAGTTGCGATCTAGGCTTGCAGAGTCAAGACTCTATTTTCAAGAGTTCTCAACTCTCGCCGCGCCTTGCATTGCTCTCAGGTTACATGCAAGCCAGCAGTCAGATCAGTAAGATCAGTCAGATGCAACACGGAAGGTCTGTTGCTAGTTCCGCACCAAAACCAGTTGAGCTGCCCAGGGTTCTTGTGCTGCAGACTAGGGCGTGCTTCATTACTTGCGTGCATAGACGCCCAACATGACTGAGTTCGGCAAACTCGTCGACATCTCAGTTCTGATGGGTGTTTGCTCCGTTTCCATCGATACTGTCTGCGCGTGTCTTCTACTTCTAATTCTACTTCTACATCTACATCTACTGCTGCTACTCCTCCTCCTCCTGCTGCTGCTGCTGCGACGTCGGCGACGACGACGACGCACTACTGCTGCTTCTGCACCTGCCATTGCTACTGATGCTACTGCCGCTGCAACAGCTGTTACAGCTGCTGCTACTGCTGCTGATAGTGGATTCCGTCCCTGCTACTGCTACCGCCGCTACTAACAGCTGTTACAGCTGCTGCTACTGCTACTGACAGTGGATTGCGTCCCTGCTACTGCTACCGCCGCTACTGCTCCTGCTGCTGCTGCTGCTGCTGATGCAAGTATTGCAGTACCGCTTACTACCACCACTACGACTTCTTCACCTTGTTACGTCGTGCCTAGCAAGAGGGTGATGTTCACGTGGCAAAGATCGCTACGACTCTGAGCATGACAGCGGGTTTGACCAGGCTACTCCTGCTGTTCTTGTTCTGATTGGCGTTTCGATGAATATGTCGTTCTTGGCCTCTTGGCCTAAGGTTCTTCTCATCGGCGACTATCACACGCCGCAGAGGTTTTGGCCTTTGGTTGCCGGAGGGGTGGCAAGTTGGAGGACGTTGACGTCAGTCGAGTGCATCACAGCCTCGTGAAAGACCTTGGCCCTGGCCTGCAGAAGTGCTGTGCCCCGGCTGGCCGAGGAAGTCGGACGTGCCCTCTTGCTTCAAGGAGCTGCTAAACACCGACAAGTGGCTTGGCCGGAACATGCACGGGGAACCAGTGAGAAAAGTGGGCTGGGTTTGGGCAAACTTCAGGGTCCCCTAGAAGCCAAGGATCGGTGTGGTGCTGTGCACTGGGAATGCCCGGCTCTCGCCGAGGGAATCGGGTCGGGAAGCTGAGGCTTCGGGCGGGGTTTCGGTCCTTGGCTTCCGACTCCATGCGAGTCCTTACCTGACAAAGCACTGCAGGCGAGGTTGGAAGGTTCTTGGAGCGACTTGAAGCCAGGTTGCATCTCCAAGTCATTGTGTCTGTAAAAATGTATGACTTCTCACTCGGAGTGTGAGTGCTTGGTGAAGAAGAGGAAGAAGCAGATGATGATGATGATGATGATGATGATGATGATGAGGGTGTTTACTTTCCCAGGGAGTCGAATTCTTGCTAGGCCCTTGGTCGAGGTGTGTGTGTGTCGTGGGTGTTCACAGATTTCGTGCGGTTTGGGCTCGTCGCACTCAGAGCCGCTGGAACTTGTTGAAGTCTTGGGTGGCCGAGGTTGGTTCCCAGTCCGTCGCCGAACAGCTGCGCATGATTGCCGGTGAGGACCCGCCGGTCTTTCTCCTTCACAGTCTGCAGCGGGGAGTCCGCAGCAAACCCGTCGACTCAGCGACCCCAAACATCAGGAAAGCCCTGCGTGCGAGCCTGTGCGCCTGCGAGCGTCCAGCGTCGGGCCTTTCCGCCTTCTGATGTTCTCATCTATGCCACAGGACTGCCACATCGTGTGCGGCGATGCAGACCACGACTTCAACTTCCCTGAGACCTGCGCCACTCAGCGGGCTAATTGGGATCAGGGTAGGGCCCATCACACCCGAATCGTGGTCAAAGAGGACCACGGGGATGCCTGAAAGGGGGAAGCCTTCGCTCGTGACCTCCGGACAGCCACTGCAGGAAAGAGCCTTGAAAAGCAGGGTCTCCTTCGAAGCCGCATATCAACTAGCTCAAGCTGCTTCAGGGAGTAGCAGAGTAGCAAGACACGCAAAAACGCGAGAAACGAAGACTTTCGGCAGGTGACCTCCGTTGGCGAGTTCAAGGTGGGCGTTGTTCACGGGCATCAAGTGGTGCCCTGGGGTGTGGGCCCCAGGGCAAGGGCTTGGGCGCTTTGCACTGAGCTCATAATATCAAGGGTCGGGGCTGAGGTGACAACAACTCTTTGGTCAAGTTCGCCGGCCGGCTGGGTGTTGACATCCTCGTCACCGGGCACACGCACAGGACTGGCATCAGAGATGGGAGTCTTCCTTTCGGAGTTGCTATGGGGTTCTGTTGTTATCGGGTAAGCTCTTAGGCCTTACAGTGAACTTCCACGCATTGATCCCGAAACGACGAAGCGCTTCTGTGCCATGGATGCCCGGTGTGGCATTTACCTCTGCTGCTGCCGCTGCTGCTGCACCGCTGTAACCAGCGCTGCCACGACTGCGACCATTTCCCGAAGGAGCAGCATCACGGAGCTCGGTGGCAAGTTCATCATCAACCCGGGCTCGGTGACGGGAGCCTGTTTGGAGCCCAGTTGACCACATGGTCCCGAGCTCTTTGGGAGCTTTTTCGGGCAAGGAGCCTTAGACGGCTGGAGGTTCGTGGCTCCGTTTCTCGGGCCCAGCGTCGCGTCTGCATGACCCCGAATCACACCTAAAAAACACCGTCGGAGCCCACAAGCAGAGTGATCTCGTTCTGACGGGTTTTTCTACACGGTGCAAGACAGGAATCCATAGCCGCAAGCAAAGCTCTCAGCCGGCATTCCCAGAACCCAGCATTCCCTTTTCTGTCTTAGGCAATGCCTTGGCGGAGTTCGACGTGACGTGAAGCCCTCGGAAAAGTTTGAAGGCCCCAGGCCTGGCAGGGGACTTGCAGAGCCCGGACAGCTCCAACCTCATCCTGAAGCCAAGCGACACTGACTGTGGCGGCCGCGACTCCCTTCAGCCCGAAACAAGGATTCGTGCAGAACCACCGTTGAGCCGATTCTGAGCCGCTTTACCCAGGCCCTCCTTCATGCTCATGGCCGTCCAGGAGAAGTCTGTCCAGTTCTCAGCTCACTCTAATCACGGGGCGGTCGGATCAGCATTTTGCGCGGATCGTATTTGGGGAGCTGTCCAAGTTGCCAGGCCGATTGGAGCTGACTTGCTAGACGTGCATATACCCGCAGCTGGCTTGAAACGCCTAGATCTTTGTAGCCTTAAGCCCAGACATGGGTCCCCAAACCACACACCCCAGCCCTGCAAAAACCACTGAAGTCCAAACAATTTTAGGCCTTTGCCCTGTCCTGTCGAGGTCGTCCTCTACACCTACGAGCTCAAGGAAGGTCAGACTGAGCCCGAAGTGAAGATGAACGAATTGAAGCGGTGAGGAGACCCTGCCTTTCCCCCACAGCCCAAGCGCAAGACGAAGTTCAGGAGATCATAGGGGCAGTCGATGTGAGAATTGGTGGCGGAATTACTTACCAAACTCAACTCGAGCAACTGATGGAAATGGTGCTTTTGCTCAAGCCTCAAGCACACGCAGACTCAGTTTTCTGACAGCATCCAATCCAGAAAGCTTAATGCCCTCAATCCAGAAGGCTTAATGCCCACAGAGCCTTCTGGCCCAAGCCGAAAGCCTCTGACAGCCCCCTACCCCCCAGGGCCTTTGCAAGTCTCCAAGCTCGAAATACCAGGGAGAGCCCTCAACCTTTGGAAGCGACGTAGCCCTAGATAAACCCCGAACCCCTGTTGTCCAGAATGAGTCCTCGCGTACTGCACGACAAGCTACCTTACGTTGAGCAGACTCAAGCCCAAACCCGAAGCCCTCCTTGCACCGCATCCGGTACCTCGCGTGCCGCATCGATTCCGGTCAGTCTGGAAACCGGGGGCCACGGAGCTCGCAACGGAGAAAAGCTGGTGCGTTGTGGTCCTCGGTGCTCGAGCCCTGACCTCCAGAAGCCCCGAATCCCACAAGGCTTTTTCGGTTCAGGCCCCTTCTCTGCAAGACGATGCTTGGTGTTCGGAGTTTCTCCGGTCTGGTGGAGCAAAAGGGAAGAGGCGCACCGCAAGACCTAGATACCTTCCTTCGCAGCCCCCTGTTTTCTATGGCATCAGTCGTGAGGACCTTCATGGAGTGGTACGGAAAATCATAAGTACTAGCAGTGCTTGAATTTTGCAATGCTTGAAAGCATGTTGCCTGGCATCACTTCTGTACCGTCATGTACATGTCTCCAGTTCTTCCCTGTCATAGAGCAGCAGGATCCTTTTGGAAGCCTGCAGTAAACCCGGAATCTGTGTAAAAGCCAAAGGCCAAAGCCCAGTGAATCCGACACCCCAAGTGCCCAACGGACCCGACTCGATAGGGCCTTCGCGCCCGAGCGAAGCGTGCAGTGGCTCGGACGCTAGCGGCCTCCGCTTCCGGGCCCTAGGATCCGCACTGGCGAAGTCCTCGGATTTTGTGGAGTTTGCAGCTCTGTTGGGGCGCCTCTGAAGGCCTTGGCTCTGCGAGTTTAGGCCAAGAAGTCTAGAGGTAGCGCTTTGCAGAGGGTACAAAATCAGTCGAAGCTCCCAGGCCAGGCCATCGCGCGATGGCCGCCATCTCCTCGTACGAGCAGAGCCAGGTCCTGCGCCGCCCTTTGCCTTCTCAGGGCTCAGGGTTTGGGAGTTGGGAAAGTTATGAGGTAGGCTTCTGGCCCACCTGTTTGGGTCTTGGGATGCTGAGTGGCAGACGTTCTCCATCCAAGCCCTACGCCTTGTTCCGAAAAAGATGGAACCCTAATTACAATCCCGTGAGCAGTACATCCTCACGGTAGAGGTAGAGCAAATCGCAAATAAGTTGGGAAAACATGTCGAAGCTGCTGCTCCCTGCCAGGCGCTAGCGCTGGTGGAGGCCCAGCGTTGCAGTTGGTGAACTCCAAAGCCTGCAAGTCGGAATTGCGTGGCAAAAACGCCAACAGCAAGAGTGGACGGCTTTACAGTGCCATGATATTAGTACTGTTGAGCTGCAGAGGCTTTGGCGATGGGCAAACAGAATCCTTTTGGTTGTTGCTGCAGATACCTGGGCGGTCTTGGCAACCCTAGATACAGATCGCTCAGTTAGTACGCGGTAAGAAAACCTGTTGGTTTTATTGTTTCAGCCCAAGCACCCGCGACAACCCCAACTGCAGCCCGTCAATGCAGCAGGATCGCACCTACACCGGAGATGAGGTGAAGGCTCGGAGGGCTTTCCTTGAGTTGTTGCTTCGCGTTCTTGCGGCTTTGAGTCTGCGATCTTCGAAGGCTTTCGGAGCCCTGGGGCTATGTTGTTGCTGTTGCTTTAGCGATTTGCAGAGGCTCGACGGCTTCGGGCGTACAAGGACGAGCCACAGCCCTGGCGTCGTGTCGGAAGTCTCGTGTGGGTTGGTATTGGATGGGCGGCCATGTACTGCTGGCTACGACGACGACTGCTACTGTTGCTGCGTTTGCTGCCACAAGAAGCATATCTCTGGCAGCCCTACCGACGAAACCACACCTCAACAAAGCAGCACCACCCCAAGTCTCAAAGCGGCAGCCCCGGACAGACAAATCCTTCGGGGGCCCGGGGGGCGAAAAGAGACAACGGCTAAACTCAGGTCGGCAACCTGGCCGCCAACAGCGCCGGAGAACCACGTGACGGAGCAGTGGGCTGCTTAGCCTCGGGTCAAGGGCCGACGATGCATGTGTGGCTTGACTTACAAGGTCCCCAAACGCCGGAATGGGTTTGTCGATGCAATGGCTGTAGCTTCTGAGTGATCGCTGAGGAGGCGACAGGCCCGACTCTTGCGTGACCGATTCAACCCAGACTTCTTCCACTTGCGCAGGGGCCTCAACATTGCAGGCCCTTCAGGGTGTTCAGAGTTCAAAGTTCAAAGTACAGTACGAGATGGAGGACAAGCGCGTTGTTTGAGGTAGGGTCTTCTTCGCACGAGCTTTCCAGCCGAAGACTCTGGGGTCGCCCCGCCATGAATCCCTGAAGCTCCACGTCCGCGAGTCCCGCGGCTGGAAGAGGGAGCCGAAAGCCGCAGACAGTTGATGGCTCAGGCCCCTCCCTTCCGGGTGGCCCTGAGGCGTTGAAGAAGTAGAGAGGTCCTAACAGAGGATCCTCGAGCTTTGAGCAAGGAGTCCTTGAGCCCTCTCAGGCAGGAGCAACTTCCCGAGCCCGTCTAACGTGCCTCCGGGCTTGGCTTGTCGTAGATGTAATGTGCTTATGTGGGACGAGCCTGACAGAGTGGGAGGATGCGCAGGGGTTGATCTTGAAGCCCAAGTCCATACTCTCAGCACCGAAGCCTTCAGCCCGATCCGCCTCCTTGCTGAGAGCCTGCGTGCCAGCTCCCTTCTTCCCGGATGTGCCGAGGGATGCTGCATGCACCTCAAGAAGGAAACAGAAGGAAGTAGTTACTTGAGGGCTTGGAGATCTGGTTTCAACACTTCGGGGCCTGAACGGGTTTTACCTGACAGAGCAAGTCAGCGGCGCTGCTCCCCGGAAATTCGGGAAGAAGTAGCAAGGCCAAGGCGGCCAAGGTTGCCCCGCCTCCGAGGGCCGAGCCAAACCCGAATTACCGGGAAAGCTGTGCCCAGAGTTCCGGCTCCCTCCGACTCCGACGGCCCATGGGATGCTGGGAAAAGGCAGCGATTGTGGCCTCTCTTGATCCCGGAATCCCACCCAACAAAACCAGATCCGGAAACCCGTCGGAAACCCCTCCAAGGGCGCCGACTAGGTTGAACTAGGCTGACCGATTATGAAGCTTAGCTTACTCAGCCTGTTGTTGTGGGTCCTCAGCTTGCCGAGCTAATTAATCTCAGCTTGCTGTGAACGGGCAAAAATGAGCTTAGGTACTGCAGAGCCCAAAGCAAGTATCCCGCTCTCTCCTTCCTGAGTTTCTCTTGTGTCACCTCCCTGATTCACGTCTGGACTGTAGATTGATCACAATTCGGGCGTGCTCACATGTGATCTCGGCGGGCCGCAGAAGGTTGAGATGGCCCGGGATGTTGAATCTCACATCTCTGCTGTGATCTTGAAAGCCCCATCCGTCAAATATTTGATCTCGAATCGGCAGTTTCTGGAAGGCATGGCACGCAGCTTCATGCAGCTATAGCCCGCGGAGCATGTTGATCGCGTTCCACTTCTGTGCTGCACAGTGTTGAACCAGTCGAGATGGAATGTGCGGGACAGACGGGATTGCAGCTCGCGCTTAGCTTCGATGCCGGCTGCAGCACATGACGACCTATGGCGTGCGTAGCTCAGGCCTCTTCGGAGGGATGTGTTGGGGAGGGCGCAACTGCCCGTTGTGCGGGCAAGGCTACGCATCCATGCCAAAGACTGCACGCAGCAGAGGCTCGAGCTAAGGGTCTCCCGCAGTATTCCCACCACAATGCAGCCATTGAGCCTGAAGCCGCGGGAGTGTCCATGGGCGTTCTACTTATTCAAACCCGAGCCGAATCTGGAGACTCTCCTGCAGCTTTGCGCCTACACGCTCTCCTGCCGCAACCGGGCAGTCTTTGCTGAGATTGATGTTTCGGGCTGTGAAGTGAATCATGGAGCGAATGCCAGCTTCAGCGTTGTCGTGGACGTCGACTTCATCGAGTTCGCTCTGATCGACCGCATTTGTCCGCTTTTATCGAGGAAACCGCTTGCAGAGGAATGGGCTGCTTGCCAAAAGCGCCGCTATGAGGAGGAGCTCAAAGGCAAGTCATGGGAAACAAGAACTCACGAACTTTCGTGCTTGCTAGGCTTGCGCATTCGTTCTTTGATGCTGGAGCTGCCTGGGACAATGCTGGAGAGTGTGTGTGGGCACCAGTTGAATTTTCTCCCATCGGTGCTGCAAGCCAAGCGGGAGCCAGAAGATGCCGAGGATGCCCTCACCACCTGGCTGAAAAAGGTCGCTGCTCTGCACGATCTCCGTAAGGCTGCTGCCGCTCCTGCTTTCTATTTTCATGAGTTTTCTGACATGCGCGACCCTGAACTGCGAGAGATACTGCTCGAAAGAGAAGAAATAAAATCAGCGTCCGGATTCCGTTCGTTGTTTCCATCTTGCTGTGAGCGCTCGACTGCCGCTCCCGCTTGCTTTCAGGGATGGCACCTCGCAAGTGGAGCTGGCAAAGTGCCAGCAGAGGTGTGAAGAGCTTTCCGAGGAGCTGGCCATGGCCAAGGCCGAGCTGTGCGAGCTGAGAAAGGAGAGCACGTGCCCGGCCAGAGAGGTCCAAGCCGGAAAGCAGAGCAAGAGCAGCCTGACATTTCAGCCAGAGACCTTGCTGGATGCAGCCGAGTTTCGCGCGATGCTCGTCGAGAACGCAACCTACAAAGAGCGGTGCGAGCAAACGAAGCTGCGGCTCGACAGAGCCGAGGCGGACTTGTCCCGCAAAACGGCGGAGAAGGAGCGCCTGTTGGTCGAGAGTGCAACCTTAAGGGAGCGATGCAGGATTGTTGCACACCAGCCTCAGGGTTCGAGGGAGGAGCGAGGTGGTGCCGCAACGTCAGGCGCAGCTTTTGCGACGATGAGCCCAAGTGGAACGGAGGCTTCCAGCCAGGACTCGGATCCTGCGGAGCGGATGGGCTTCACGGTGGTGGATGATTGTGCCTCGTCCGTGTTGAGCCACTCCTCCTGGTTCTCCGTGAAACCACACGGCCGCTGCTTCGTGACAGACGCCATTTTCCGCACGCGAAGCTGTGGCATCGATTTCTTTCTGATGGGGAAGGACCTGGTCAAAGGCTCTCGTGTTGTGGCTGCGGACAACGAGACCATTCTGGAAGTTGCAGCAGCGCCTGAGGTGTTCAAGGAGACGGCTGGCTTTGACCTACAAGCTGGGGACGCAGCCCTGCGGGTGACTGCGGATCACTTGGTGCTGGTCTCTGACCCACAAGCTGCGTCAGGCATCTATGTCAAAGCAGGCAATCTCAAGGAAGGTGACCTTGTCATGCTTGACTCGTGGGAGCCTGTGCCCCTCAATGGCATGAAGGCTTGGTCCGCTGAGCAGGAAGTACTGAAGGTGGTTTTCCAGCCGGACCTGCCCATCGCCGTCTTCTCGTGTCCGCCGTGCATTCTCAGCAAGGGCCAGAAGAAGCAGCAGACACGTCGTGGAGGCATGCGCCACATGAAATGCAGAAGGGCAGGGGCAGAGCACGACCAGGCGAAGACGGGCAGAACAGCATTCCCAAGACACAGGGCGCTTACACGGACTGAGATCGCCCGCCTCCACGTTGAGCTTAATACGACTGCACACACAATTTTGACGAGCTTGAGCAGCCATGCCCGGATTGAAGTGCACGGCTTTGACGCTGGTGCGCGAGGATCCGTGGCTCAGTGCTGGATTTACCGGGAGTGCAGTGCACGCGGTTTTTTGGAGACACGCAGTGCTTGCACGGCCGGCCCCTTCAATCTTTCAATCTTCCCCGGGGCAGCTTGGAAATCTCTCCCTTGCGCAGAAGAACGCAGGCGCTGCCTACAAAAACGATGCAGTCGGCGAGTAGACAAGGGCTCGTTCAGTCGTCACCCATCCTCAGTCCAACCCACTTCGAAGATTCGACCGGGGCTTTCGTCATGGAACTGGGAGAGCACTTTGAAGTGGCAAGTGACTACCGAACACTTGGCAGGTGGCCTTCGTCAATCTCCTGTCGTGCCGATCCTATGATGGAGGACTGTCCCGGAGAGTCCGTTCTGGACGTGTCGAGTGTTAGGTTAGGCTATTGTTCAAGCATGTTTTCTAGCTCTAGCCGTTGTCAATCGTGCCATGAGGCACGGGGGCCTGAACGTCGGAGTGTTCTAGTTTGCCTGAGTGGTATGCCTTCTGTTTTGCGCTTCACTTTCGAGGCTCCCTAGGGGTGTGAGCCACCCCGGCTACAGGCACGTAGGCTGTGCTGGTTGAAGAAACGCACTTCTTATGCGGTTTGTTTTAAATTGTGACATGGATTGGGGAACGACAGGCTTGCAACAGAAGCAGCAGAACTTTCAACGCGCAAAGATTCAGAGCCTTGGGATCAAAGCCTCAGCAACAAACACGCTCGTCGCGTTTGGGATGCCATAGGGATCCTTCTCATACTAGCTTGAACAGATCCCGAATCTAAGCCTTCAAACCAAGACGTGAACAATCCCCAACATAGCAGCCCATCTGGGGTAAATCCGCCATGGATCCGCGGGCGTCGCTGGACCTCACCCGCGAGCTGGCTGGGGCAGAGCAACTGAGGCCAGGAGTTGCATGCGGAATGTCCTGGATGAGAGTTCCCTGAAGTAGGATTTCAGCTCTGATCGTTGGGGATCTTGGACAGGAGTGACCTCCTGGCCTCCACCGCAGCCCTCCGACAGCGGCTCGCCGTGGCGCGGCGGTCGCCCGGAGCCAGCAGAGCTGCGGGTTGATGGGTCTTTATGATCAGCAAAGGTCTGAGGAGAAACTAGTTGCCAGGACTGCCAGGAATTGTGTTCAGTACCTTGAGGTTTGTTGGCATTGGAGACATGTAGGTAATTGGGCATCAGAAGGTCCGAACGGCAGATGCTTCTTCGAAGTCAGGGTTACCGCAAAGGTTTGATGGTACTTGGTTTGCCCGAAGCCAAGTCTTCCGAGGGCACGAAGATGAGCGACAAATCTCGCTAAACCCCCGGAAGCGCCCAGAGAGCAAGGAAGTCGCAGCTCTGGCGAGGCGTGGTGACCAAGCTGTGACACGGCTTGCCTAAGTTCTTCGTTGACATGGGAGTCCTACAGATTTGGGGCCCTTATGTATGTGCCTCATGTATGAGAAGCAAACTCCCAGTGCTTGCAGTCCTCTTGAGTCGAGGGTCAATTCGTCAGCAGTGCCTTGAGCTCGGAGTTCGAAGGAAACTCGGATGGTGACAGTGGGGTCGTGAGCATGTCCGGGGTCATGAAATAAGTCAACAGCATTACCAGAGGGCTGTGGTGTACATCTGCTACACGTTTATGTCTCAGGCATCTTACGGCTACCAGTGCCTGCTATGTCTCCGCATTTGAGGCAAAGGCTCGGCTTGGGTCCTTTCTCATTGGCCTCGGACAGCGGAGGTGGCGAGGCAACTGCCAGAGGAGGTTTTTGAATGCGGGTTGGGGTTCAGGGAGTTTGGGTTCCGGGCGGTTTGGGTGTACCGGCTGTGTGTGGTGTTGTTTAGGCTTAGGACGGCTGAGTCGATGATTCCAGTCTCAGTCGCACGCAGCTCAGCTACCAACCTGAAGCGCACGGCCAGATTAGAGGTTAACACCAAACACCTTCAAACTCCAAGGTCCTCCTGAAGGCCCCAAAGCTAGCAGGCGGAGTCTCCCTGTGGAAGCCAAGCCTCCAAGAACGCAAGTCTCGCGACAGGTTGCCACGGAGCTCCGCTTGCTGTTGGAGGAGGTGTCAAGCAGAGCGGGCGATAGTTCCAAATTTGCAAAGCCCGCTGAACTTGGGAGAGCTCCTGGCAGCGCTGGGGATCTGCGATTCAGGCGTTGTGACGGCTGACGGACGCTGTGTCTGCTTCTGGAGCAGGCCTCCATCGCAGACGACCTTCTACGCGCCGATGGTGAGTCGGCTGCCCTGCGGCAACAGGCTGGGCTTGCTATAGACCTTGCGGTCAAGCCTTTCGATTATTTCGAATTTCTGGAAGGGCTTCAGTTCGGTTGAGCACGCTTCTACAGAAATGCGCCGCGCAACTTGTGCTGCTTGCACAACTAACCGCGCCCAGTTCCCAGCGACCCGATGAGGAGGGACAGCAGGAGGAGCTCCAGCGCCTCCGTGAGGAGGTGAGGCATCTCGAGGACCAGACGAAGGGCTTTTCCGGCCACAACCCAAGGCAAGAGGCTTCGCAGGGACTTTAATAGAATCAGGAGGCTTGCCGACACATAGGCAAAAGCTCTTTGCTCCCGACACCTTCCTTTGAATATGCAGTAGTAGATACCTTGCTTCCCAATAGTCTCAACTCCTGGACCCCACCGTGAGGAGTCTTCCATGAACGCCAGCACCGAGTTGTGCGCCCAAAGCAGGCGAGGCCGGGATTTACTGGGACAGGGCTTGGCTTGCGGGCCGCAGGACTTCGGACTTGCAGGTTCAGGGCGGACGGAATGAGGCAGCTTTCTGATTCTGTAGGTCCTGCTCCGACACTTTTGCAGCCCCAGACCCTACACCACAAGCGGATCGCCCCCACTCTCATCGCCTTCAACCCAAAGCCTGAAAGATGAGTCAGAAGGCGCCTGGAATCGCTGCGTGGTGCCTGGCGCGAGGCCACGGCCTCTTCCTCCGTTTGGGAGAGCGATGCCTGGCCGAGTCCCATCGGGTTCCATACTGCAGGGCCTAGGGCCTTGGGTTCATTGTTCATTACCCTGTTGTAGGGTCATGAGTTGGCGTTTCGTGGGTGACAATGAGTTAGGATTCCAGAGGTAGTAGGCTTTTCGACAACGTCTTGGGGCTTTGTTCGTCTTCGCTTTTGTTTCTAGGAGCAGGCATTGCAGCAGGAGGATTTAGAGAAGTTCATTCGGTCTTTCGGGTGCAATTGTCTGGGAGTTGGAGCTGTGAGCATTCGGGGCGTGAGGGAGCAGACTTAGAGGTTAGGCTCCCCAGGCACATGGCAGTGCAGCCGAAACCCGGGTCAGCCCCATCCGTCCGGTCTCAGTCCCCAGCTTAGAATCTCTGCCTGCTTTCCATCCGCATGCAAGCCGGCTTCGACTACTCAGGAGGTCGCCGTCATGAAAGCGAAGCCCTCGGAGGTCCCGGGAAAGTGTTGGAGATCATTTCTGGCTTTTCTAGATCATTCTAGGCTATTCTGGATGGCTATGGGCTCCAAGCTTTGAAGCTCTTGGACAGGTTGACAGGACCGAGATTGCATTGGGGTTCATCGTTGCAAGTCGGAGAACGCCGCAGCATCCACGTCGGCACCTGTGAACTCGAATCTTGTCACAAACCTGGTCAACAGCACTCGAGATGCCGCCGTCTGAATCCTGATCAGCCTTGTGCAGGAAGGCCCCAGCCTGGATGAGCTTTGGTTGACTCAGGCCATGCTCGAGGCCGAAGCGATGGATCCTTCTACTACCCCCCAGAAGTAGGGTTTAGGATGGGCTGACATTGATGGACATAGAGGTGGTTGATGTGCATGCCTTGCAGATGGACAAAGAAGGTGCTCTACTTCGTCAGTCTGAGGTCTATTGGGGTTGCCCGTGAGGGTCGGTGGGCTTTGGGGATGGCTGTCGTCAAATTGCCGCGAAGCCCAATCACATTCCGGAAGCCGCAGCCTTCGATCCCCAAAAGCCTTTGACCCGATCTTTCAGGTGGAGGAAGCCGACCTCATCGCTCTCTGCCACGGCCGCCAGCAGGCGACGCGTGAGCTTCGAGCAGAGGCGACTTCGGGGCTCCTGGAGCCATGTCCTAGTTTAAAGAGGAGCGGAAGCTGGTAGCAGAGGTAGTAGAAATAGTTGTAGCTAAGTAGAAGTGGAAGTGGTAGCAGCTGGAGTAGTTGCAGTCGTGGTTTTGCTTCTTGCCGTTGTCGCCGTGGTCGTGGTCGTAGTCGTGGTCGTCATCGTGTGGTTGTGGTTGTTGTTGTTGTGGTCGTCGTCGGTGGTGTTGGTTGTCCCCATTCAGTCACTGCTTTGCAGTTGTTCATACATGAAGTTTATTGCACCATAGCCTAACATAGTGATACAGTTTTGATACAGTGTACGCCACCTGTGCTCTGTTCTGGTCTTGTCGCGGTCTTGCTATTCTAACTGTCTTTTCATGTTGTTTCTTGGCCTTCTCAGGCTTCTGTTGGTGACGTTGCTTTTGCAAGTATTCCGAGGGTTGTTTGTGGAGACCGTAAAAGCTTCTGCCTTCAGCTGGCACCCGCCTGAAGAATCCTCAGACGTGGATGTCGACAGTCACCGGAGACTGCTCCATGTCCAGATGCCAGTCATGTTCTTGTTGCCGGCCACCCTATGTAAGCTCCTTCGTCCTTACGGATGAGGCTGCTGCTCTGGAGGCATGCGCCCGGGACCTCGAGAGCCGCAGCGAGGCGGAAGGAGAACGGACGATTCACGAAACATCAAACGACACCACCACCATTTCAACTACAGATGCGGCCAATGCCCAACAAGAAATAATTAATGAAAGTACCAGCAAACAGTATACAGCATGCAACGTGGCACAGCAAACGACGCGCGGTAAACTTCAAACTACAACAGCTTCGATTCAACAGCAAAAGCGAATCGATAGCCATAGCGCTAACAGTAGCAGTAGCAGTTGCAGTAGCAGAACCGGTAGAAGCAGCAGTGGCAGTAGCAGTAGCAGTGGCAGTGGCAGAGGCAGCATCATAGCTCAGTAGTGATTGCAATAGCAACGCAAATCGCAGTAGCAATAGCAATAGCAATAGCAGTCGCAGTAGCAGCAGCAGTAGTAGTAGCGATAGCCATATAGCAGTTTCTATTGCAATTGCTGCAGCAATGAGAACAACAGCAAGAGCAGAAGTAAGACCAAAAACAGAACTGCACGAGCAGTAGCAACAGCAATAGCACTAGAAGTCGCAGCAGCAGCAGCAGCCGCCGCGGCAGCCGCATCAGCCACAACAGCAACAACAGCAACCGCACGGAACCGGCAGCGTCAGCGTCAGCAGCGGGGATTGGGTTTCGGATGAGTTTCCTGGAGGCCAACGTGGAAGAAGCGGATCAGCTCTGTGAGACGGAGCTACTCAGCTGCAGGGATACATCTCAACGGTTAGCCGCCGAAAGGCAGAAACCTAGATGCAGCCTGGCTTGGGGAGTTGTACTTGCTAGGGTTTGGGGTTTGATGCGATGATTTCTCCTCACTCGACGGCTCATCCGTCGGCTCTTCTTTATTTTGGGTTTCGGCCCGGGTTTCTAGTTCTCTGCCTGGTGC